ACGCAGTGTGTGTCCACCAGCCGGCCCATCAGTGAGGAGTACATCTCGGGTGAGTGTCTTCCTCTTCCCTGCCAATTTTGGCATTGATAGGGCCATCTCCAGTTCTTAAGTTCATCCAAAATATTGCATGTCCTTCAAGATCATAACATTTGTAGTTGTTAATGTCAAGGGTTGTTTCATAGATCTGTGATTCTTGAGGAAAGTTTATTGTGTCATCCATTTGGCGCTGCTAAACTAGAGGAAATGGCATTCAGTTATCATTTACTTTACATACACTGTTAAAGTGGTTTTCATAAATCTTGGTATCGCTTTGTCAGTTGTTAGCATTCCTGTAGGTAAGGTTTAGCACTGCCTTGTGCCGAAGGAGTTGATCTGATTGTACAATTTTTATATTTTCTCTGCATTTCTTTTTTAGGGTCAAGCTGTAAATCAGACATCTGCCATTGCCTCTGCATCCAGCCCAAGAACTAGTCAGGTTGAAGCAGAACCCACCATCAAAGAGGAAGTCGTGGACTTGGAAGAGGATTCTGCACAGGGTGGGGACTTTGAGCAGTCGGTCAGTCATCTGTTCCTGTTTCAATGTGTAATCTGTTCTTGTTTCAAATTCCTGGGGAAAAAAAAGAGAAAACAGTTTCCTAGGTTTTTTTTTTATACAATTTGTCTGAAATTTGGAGATTCTTTCAGTTTACCCCTTCTGATGAAGTTTCATTGCTGGAAAGTATTTATTTTCTCATTTTGCAATGTGTTATACACTGTAGCAAGAAAAATTTGCACCAAATTCAATATATTAAAATCCTGAAAATGTGGTTTTAAACATATTTTTCTACTTTTTCTACTAATTTTTTTATTTGTGCCATCCCTTATTTGGTCATGTAGAAAGGAATAGTGAATTGTTCAATTTGCCCTTCTTTTGGCCTTGCACAGAATTTGTAAATATTCATATCTACATTGATTTTCTTCCCTAATTTGGGAAGAAAATCAAAGTAGATATAAATATTTTAAACTTCCTTATTATTTCTTGTTGGGAAAAGAAAAGTAGTTTTCAACATGATGTGTGTCCTATGACAAGGCGGAGCAGGAGGAGTGGGACGAGGAGGCGCAGGCCTCCTATTACTCCGAGGGCGAAGGGGCGACTAGGAGCAGCCAGGACTTGCCTCAGAACATTAGTTTTCAACATGATGTGTGTCCTATGACAAGGCGGAGCAGGAGGAGTGGGACGAGGAGGCGCAGGCCTCCTATTACTCCGAGGGCGAAGGGGCGACTAGGAGCAGCCAGGACTTGCCTCAGAACATCCCGCCTGAAATTGATCCATCAGTGAGTCGAAGGCTCTTTGTCCCTCGTTGAGTCTAGAGGGGTGCCGGATGGAAGGCTGGGCGAATGCCACGATTGCAGATCCTTGCCCAGTTGTGGCCTTGGGTCTTCGCAGAATGAAAGTGATAATGAAACGTGGATTCACATTTGGATAGGCTACCAATTTTTGTTGCATAAATTTTGCCCCTGATTGGCCAATTATGCATTTTCATGTAAAATGCCAGAAAGTTGCATTTGCTTTCTTAAAATAATAATGAAATTTCAGTTTCCACAATATTTCATTCAAACATTATCCCTTAAACGACCGAGCTGGGTCAAATTTTGCCCAGAACCTATGTTATAAAATGCGAAACTTTGAGGCTTGGTAGTTTAAGGGTTAAGGCAATCTTCTTAATAAGCTATGCGATTGGAACATGTATAACATACGAACATGTTTCACAGTCTTGGTGTAAGTGGCACACCAGCAACCATGAAAGGGTTTATGACCAATTGTGCATAGCACTCCAGAAGTCCATAATTTTCATCAGTTGTTGGTTGGGGCATTTAGGATGAATTTGGAACTGAGAAGTTGATACCTGTTAGAAAGATTTTAAATGTCGGAAGGTGATACAAAAGTTATTTTCCAATATAATCTCAATTGTATTTCTTTTTCGCAGATTTATTTGGAAATCTAATCATATTTCAAGGTATTTGGGTCTTGTTTTAAGCTTTCCTCATTTTCATCTGGGGTAAATGACGAAACAGCGTTTGTATGTGGACTGTTCCCCCTTCACTCAAAGAGCATGAAAAAGCAATGTCCAATATATCACAATATTCTGCACGAAGAAGTACATAAGTGGTACGGAACACAATGCGCCGCATTATGTTCGGCAGATATGGACAGGATGACAAATTCAGCACTTATTTTGAATGTTTTGTGTCCTGACATTTTCTGCATTTATTTTGTACTGTACTGGATGCTGCACTTACTACATCATGAACCATTAGCACC